TGGCATCGAAACGACGATTGATGATTGGTTGAAAAATCTTTTTGATTTCCTTTTGATTCGAATCGTGCAAATGAATAACGTGATTTGCACTTTTGTACACATTGCACATTATTTCAAATTGAAAGAGATGCATTATTACGCCATGTTTAGATATTAACGCATTAGAAATTGCTATACTGACCGCGAGAACTTATAGAGTGACTAAATCAGAGGTTAGTATATAGTTAAGACTATATTTGTAATAATCATCTAAGATATTACATCATACGGAATATTAAAGAAATAAATAACGCGTTAGCTAAATGTCCATTAGCTTACATTAGATACAGGCTGATTTTAAAAATAGATAATCATACTAATTTTAGAATACTTTGTTTTAATCCTAAAATTGTGAACTATAAATATCGATAAGTATAGATATAACATTAATTTGCTATCGATAATAAATGAAAATGATTAAAAAATTCCTATTCTTTTTTATTTAAAATTATTATTGAGAATGTTAATTATTTATAGATTATTTCATAAGTAAGTTTTTGATTTGTATTGTACAAAATATCATTGATATTGATGAAATGAATAAAATACATTACGATATAATTTTTCAATAATAAATAAAATATATGTTTTAAAATATCGCTGTATTTTAAAGTAATTAATTATATTAAAAATTCATTCAGCTTGTATGCTCAATGCTATGAAACAGTGAATGAAAATTATTGTCATTCTAATAATGATAAACTATCTTTTTCACAAGTTGAATATTTTCCCGCGTTTAAAGTTACACGCGTATTAAAATTAATCTGGCACGAGACGATATGCAAGAACTGGTTTACATCCGGTGGTACTCCATTTGCTTATCCTTAAACGATAAAGTTATACGATACTCATATATGAAGTCTATTCTAAAATGGATTATCTTCGACTTTCACTCCTGTATCATGGATAAGAGCAACTATCTTTTTTTACGGCTAGTTTCCTTACGATTAACGTTCGAAAAGATGCTACTATTATAAATTAATATATTTATGAAAATTAATATTTCTCCGTAGAATCCATGTTTCCACTTTAAAATAATGGAATAATCAATAAACACAAAGGGAAGAAATAGAAAAGGAAAAAAATAAAAAAAGAAAAACGAAAGGAAAACGAAAACAAGGGAAGAAATGGCAAAAGACGGGAATCGCGGGCAAAGCAAAAGCACGTACCTGAACAAGTCGCTTCACGTCGCTGCGATCGCGATTGTCGGACCCCACGGCTATGTTAGGTCCCCACATTCCACCTGTCAGAAGGTGGGTCTGCTCTCTCACGGACCGTAAAGGAAGCAAAGAAACCACTAACGGTGGAAAATAAATCGCGATTCGATAGTTTTCTTTTCTAACTTTTCGCGAAATCACCTTCGAAAACTAATCGTTTTCAATATGGCTGTATGCACAGATCCCATTCCGCTATTCACTATACTACTCTTACATACTTCTTTAATGTCCATTTTCCGTTAACGATTCGCGCCGCATTCCTGATTGGATCATTGAAAATTCCAGAAAGAAATCTCGTTGAAACTAATTTCAACAATGTTGATTACCGAAAAATATTTTCACGTTTTTCACGGATGTATTCATCAAACGCATTTGATCCTGCGTACTAAGAAGCACGCGTGGGTCTGGAATGTAAATGTACTGAACGAAGTTATCGAAAAATCGAAGAAAACAAGCGGAAACTACTTTTCACGATCACTACACGCACGATCGATAATGTAATATTATCCATATAATCTTTATGGAACGACTGATCCTACGGGATATCTCTCAAAACAAAAGTCCAAACAAATTGTTGCCCGAGCAACGTTCTCCACAACATAACTGGATACCGGTAGGTAGGGGAACTGATTCGAGGAGGAACGACTGCTAGAATCGAGTCTCGAAGGCGAGAGGAAGGATGCTAGCATAGGAGAGGGAGGTAGGGCAAAATCAGGAGGGGGAAAACTTCTGTCCTGATCAGGCAGGATGACCGGTAGGCGTTAGGGCTCAACACAATCCGCGCCTGTATATCCTACAAGCGTCTTTGTATGTACGTGAATATAATTGAAATATCCTTGTTTTCTTTTAACTCTTTTTTTCACTTGTATCGCCTTACTTGTGATTCCATTTTTGCTTTCCGAACTAATTTTTTTATTCTCCATTATCGCAAAATTGACTTAATGAAAAAAATTTTATATTTTTGAAACATAAAGAAATTGAATTGATTCTTCTATTATATATTAATTGATTATTCTTATTTTTTTTTTATGATTTGTAATTTATGTTTAATTTTACATTTCTCTCCATATTTTAACGATACAAATCTATTTAATTAATTAAAGAAAAACAAAAATGTATTTGTAATAAATATGTTATAAATATTTGCTATATTTATTTAATTACATATGTATATATCTTCTATATTTAATCATCGTATAATTTGTCTTAAAATTTGCAACTATAAAAGTCACATTTTTAAATATTTTAATCTGGTCGTTATATATTATTTGTTGAAAATTATGAATCGAATATTTTGGGAAGTATAACTAATAAATAATATATAAAAAATCAAAGTAATAGGGATACAAATAAGTAATACATATGAATAACGGTATGATGACACATGTTCATAAACGATCCAATACTTTTCCGCGTTATTCTATTTAACATTTTATATAAAATATTAATTTAATTTCTTTAATATCATAAAATTATCATTTTATTTATTTCCAATACTTTATTTATTTCCTAGTTATTTTTAATACTTTATAAAATTTGTATGATTTGGAAAAATTAGAAAAATTCATAATTACATTATATATTTGAAACAAAATGTAATGATTTAAGAAATATTTTTTTATTTGTATATTATTTGTATTTTACATGTATATTTTACATGTACATATACATTTAAACATATTTATTTTATTGAACAAAAAATATATATATAAAAAAAATTGAGACAAAAATATACTTTCAATCATTACAATTGACAAAAAAACATCAAACATTCGCGTAATCTATGAGAGAAAAAAGAAATATTTAAATTGTCATTGCTGAGTACATTGCAAAATTACATAATAATTCCTTTTACGATTGAGGCCAATCGCATTGCGTAAAAGAATCTCAGTATGGTGTTTACTGCTTTCAAATTGCTCCTAAGCGCGCGATTTATGCAAATATGTATAAATATATAAATCAAAATTAAAAGAAAAATTTAAAATAAATTGCTTCGATAATAAATATCATAGATAATAAATTATTTCAATAATTTAATATTTATATTATAAAATATCAAATTCTTTTTCATTTTTTAAGAAAAAATAATTAAATTATATAATTAATTTTCATATTTTATGAAAAAGAATTAGATATACTATAAAAATACATGCAACAATCAAAAATACTTCTAATGTTAAATTTAATTTTTGAATTTATAAAATATTAATATGCATTTTTGTTTTATATTATAAATAAAATATAAATTAAATATTTTTATAATTAATTACATATATTTATGTTTATTTTTAAATTGTAAACTTTTTTATCATATTATTTATCATATTTCTTTTTGAAATGAAATTTCTATTTTCTTTTTAATAATTATTTTATTATTATTAGTAACATTATGTTAAAATGAGTGTGATATATCATATTTATTTAATTTCATTATTATAATTATATTACTTGTGAATAATATTTCATGCTTAAATCATACTTTCAAAATTTAAAAAAACTAACCTCATCTATGAAATCGTAAAAAGCACGTGTACTATTAGAAGTCGAAGTAAAATGGCAACAATAATGGATTTAATTAATTTTTTTGATCATAATTCAAAAGAGTATAATGAATTCTTACAATATTTAATAAATTTCAACGGAGATATACCATTTAATATAGAAGAGGTAAAATTAATTATTTAAAAATAACCTCTTACATATCTAAAAGAAATATTCATATAAAATAAATATTTTAATATAAATATATATTTTTTTAATATCGAATATATATATATTTTTACTTCTAGATTGATAAAATACAAAATATTATCATATCCACTATAAATACTTATTTAAATCAATCACAATCTCGATATAATGGTTTATTAATTTTGGACAAAATTTTATCACAATGTTCAAAAGATATTTTTTCAAAATATTGCATACTATGGATATCAAAAAGTATGCAAGTATTAGAAAGCATTCATAGTACTTTACAGGAATTATCTATTTCTTGTAAAGTTCTAGGTTCTTTAATAATCCAGTCAAAAGATATTCCTGAAATACAGAAACAAGTATCCTCACAAATTGTGAAACAATTTATTAATATAATTAATAATTTGAATTCAGAGAAAAAGTGTGGTCCAATATATTATTTAATTGCTGTATTATTACATCAATATCCTGAAGTTTGTGAACGTTTTCAGGTAATGAATTTTTTCTATTATAATATATTGTATTATATATATTTTGTAAATGTGTTTATTCATATGTATTTTGATATTTTGTATTTAGATATCTATAAAAAAGATTATATTATTACAAATTGATTCTTCTCAAAAAAATTTAGTTAATGCAAGTGCAAGATGTTACGCTCTCTTAGCAAAAGCAACAGAGCGTTCATTTAAACCTCCAGTTTCAAAATCAAATTATACTTGTTGGACATATAATCAAGCACTTATTTGTAATAGTTTACATGTAATAATGGATGAATTATTTTCTAATTTAATAGAATTAGAAAATGTAAATATTTGGGATAAATTAGATTTGCCTAATATATCTGAAGAAAATATTATTCAATTTTATTTTAAACAAAAACAAAGATTTTTAAATTTGTGTTCTTACTTATCATATATGTTATGGTAAGAAAATAATTTACAAATTACTTGAATATAATGTATAAAAGAAGAAATTGTTTAAATAAAATTTATATTTTTACAGTGGATTGGGCACAAAAAATTCAGTATTACCACATGAGATTTTAAAAGTTTTATGTAGAGGTTTAGCAATACAACCATCAAACATAAAGAATCAAAATTCTGTTAAAGAACAAATTTTATATCTAATTTTACCAGAATTACATATTGCATTATTCAATGTTTTGGATTCATTAATAAATGGGTAAGAATATGATAATTTTGCTATGTTATACTATTGTTAAAATGATATTTATAAAATTAAAATATTTAGATTTAAGGAACAATTATTACCATTTGGTTTAACAATATTACAATTATTTCTTCAAACATTGCAATGGACTGAAAATGTTTTAGTAAATCAAATAACAATTAATGGAAACAAACCATTTACAAATGTAAGGATATCTGTTTATAAATGTCTTAACTCTTGGTTAATGAATACTAATTCATTATCAGGTATAGAAACTATTGCAGATGAATATCTTCTTTCTATGTTAAAAGATATAGTACCAGAAAAAGATCGTATCTTACTAACTGTAAGTTTAAATATTTGGAAAAAATTTATTTTGTTTTTTTTTTAATAATACAATTACTTGTTATATTATAACATTATTGTTATAGATTCAAAAGACACAAAATTTGTCGAAAAGAGCTTTAAAACGTTTGCGAGATAGTCAATATGAGAAAGGAATATATTTAAATAATGGAATTGCTTCTGATAAAGAACATTATCTAGATATAGATACGTGTAAAGTCGTTCTTGATGTATTACAGAATATATTTTTCAGTAGCGGAACGTTTTTAAAACAAACGTTCTTTAAAGTAAGAATTTTCATTTTAAATTTTATTGTATTATGTTAAAGTTATTATAACATTGAATATAATCATTTCTATCTTTTTTCAGACAGTACAAAGTATTATAATATCTTTATTATATGATTGTTATTTGAACAATACTGAACACAAATTTTATAAAGAATATTCTGATTGTCGTCTCTTATTGCTTAGAGTTTTAAGAGCTTCACAAATGAATCCACATTCTTTAATACCTTTACCTACTCAATATTCTTTAGAAATATTTGAAATGGCATTAAATGATAATAATTTACATATCACTCAAGAAGCTAAAATAGCATTGGCAGAACTTGAGAAAATCATACATCCTTATGCTCCACCTATTCAGCTAACTCAAGTAGAGTAAGTATTACAAGTATATTTATATAAAAACATTTGTCAACAAAATTTGCATGCAAAATTTTATCGATATCGCTATATAATATCTATACTTTTTTTTAGAATAATACAAAAAGAATTTGTTTCTGATGATCAAATTATGCAAGAACATAATATAATAATAGAAGAAAGAGATTCTTCTAATAATGAAACTGTAAATAAAAGTATAGAACCGTCATCAAGTAAAAGATTAAAAATCACAAATTCTAATGAAAATGAAACAACAAACATTCAAAATAAAGAAGATATTGTACAAACAGATCAAGATTCTTTAGAAGAACGAAATGATATAGTGGAAGAACAAATCACAACAGAAAATGAACATGAAATTTGCAAAAAATCAGCAAATGAAACTTCAATATCAAATGTAATCGATATAGGAACTTCAGATTCAATATCCTCATTGAGCATTATGAAACAAACTGACAATAGACACGATGAAAGTATGGATACAATGGAAAACGTTAATCCTAGTCCAGAAAATAATACATCTGAAGTAAATCAAACGAATTCAGAATTAGAGAAAGGAGAAGAAGAAATATTACAATTGTTTCAAGATGTACCAAAAAATTATAATTAGTATTTTAAAACAAAAATATATATTATTATTATATATATTCTATGCATTCTTAATATCAAATATAGATATAATATTCTTTGATTTTATAATAATATTTTTCTTCTGAATCATTTATGTATTTTCTTGCTAAAATATTGAAGAATATTTTGTAATCTTAGTTAAATCATTGATATTCATAATATTTTTTGTCTCGTTTTGAACAACATTCTTTATTTTTTGAGTATTGTCCACAATATTTACGGTATTTTTAAAAAAATTACACGAAGTAGATTGTAATCGTTTCGCAAGACCCGTCCACATGCCTATTTCACAGTATCTAAAATAATTAGTTAGGAATATAAAATATTTATTTAAATTTGTTATAATTTATTTAATCTCTATTCGTGTTTCAATTACCTGAATTGTTCCTTTATGCGAGGTGTTGAAGTAATACTAATGAATGGATTGATTTCATCGGAAAACTTTGGAAATACGTTTGGAAATGAATTATCATTTCGAGATGGAAACGTTATGTTAGGTTTCCCACTTTTAGCAAATTCAGCTATTAAATTTGTAAAAATATTTTCTACGCGTTCATTTTCTTCATTTAATTCTTCGATACAATGCGATGGTTCGCCGATAATACTATTTTCCTTGAAAATGTATCCAAGATCATCACCGTGACTTATTATAGCTATAAATATAATAATAAAAAAAAAATATCAAAATAAAATGCATTATAATATACTTAATACATTTAAAAATAGAATGATTTATTCGTATACCATCTGAAGCATGTTTTGCTTTTACTATAGGTAATCCTGATAAAAAAGTTTTACCACAGTTTTTTTTTCGAGTTTCTTTGTGATCGAAACTATACAAAAACGATTCGGATTTTTTAGCCCAATGATTCGCCGTAAGAAAAGCTGGAACGTTGTATAGAGAATCTCCCATAACCTCCGCTATTTTTGCAATATGAGCAGAATTATTTCTAGTATTAAAAATATTAAAATATTTATTAAAAGCTTCAGGTAAAAAATGGGATGTATTTCCAAAATTTGAAACGGTGCTTTGTAACGTTGGTACAAGATGCTCGTTTACAAAGTTTGGGATATTACGTAATTTAGTTTCAATTTCAGTTTTGTAATCTCCAAAAATTGCTCCTCCTACTTCATTATTCACAACACCAATCAATAATGGTACAGATGGAAAATCTCCGATTTTTAAAGTATTTTCAGGTGTGTTCGTAATAAAATTAGGAAGGAATCTTCAAAAAAAGTAACATTTTTAATCGTAATATCAAGGCCAGAATTACAAAAATATTGAAAAATATGAAATACCTTCCATCATCGTTCCTTCGATTACAGGACCAGGGCCTAGTAAAGTTGACAAGCTAGATATGAAACCTTGAATTGCAGAGCGTACAGTCTCTAAGCTAGAATCAACTTGTATCAATTTATCAACTGGTATTTGTTGAAGGCAACGAATCATTTCAACTGTATTGTTCATAGGACATCCGTTATTCGAAGCGATATATTGCGCGGTGGACGCAGGATTTTTGTCAAATGCAAAATGAGATAAAATTGAACCTGACATAGCAATCAATCCGCTGAAAGTATCTAAAAATTCATAATACAAATTTGTTAAAATATAGAACATTGAAAGCAGAATTTTACACTCGATATGATATATACTTTTTGATAATTTCGACAGTGCAAGCATAAAGGCAGCACTAGCTCCTGTACCATGACCAAATGCTATAATTTTTTTCGGATTTCCACCAAAATATTCAATATAATTTTTCACCCATTTAACCGCCAACATCATATCGAATATACCATTATTACCTGGTAATTCCTTTGTGCCAAGACTTAAAAATCCTGAATGAACAATACTGAATGAATATTTTTTTTCAAAAATATCATCGCACAAATGTTATATAAATTTTTAATTACCAAGTGAACCCAATCTATATTGAATAGACACAACTACTAATTTTTTTTTAATTAGATTCCTCATATCATACTGGCAAGCAGAACCTCTTCTAAAACCACCTCCATGAATCCAAATTAATACCGGATATCCATCGCCGGAATCTGGGAGCATAGGTGTAAATACATTCAAAAAAAGACAATCTTCGCTTCCCTCGATTTTTTGGCCTTTAATATTATTAGGTTGTGGACAAGGAGATCCCCATTGTGTAGCATTAATTTCACCTTTCAAATATAAAGGTCTAGGTCTCTAAAAATTAATACCTTTTTATTATCATTAAAAACCAACAATAAAATTAGAAAAGTTGTTTTTAAAAATCAGTATAATTTAAGTAGACTGTGTTATTGTTACACATGTAAAATAAGATACGTATATTTATTAAATTCGTAATCGTTATGACAGGATGTACGAATTGATAAATAATAGAGTTGATAAATTGATAAATTGCATTTCTATATTCTGAATAATGATAAAATATATTATTATAACATTGTTTTTTAAATTCAGACTTATTGATTTATTAAGATAAATTAAAATAAAAAAATTCGTTCTATATGAAATATCTCCTTGTTGTAAAGTTTTCATTTGTAAAATGTTTAAATTGTTTAAAAATATAATTTTTTTTTATTAAATGATATAAAATAATATTTTTTTATTATAAAAAGAATTATTAGAATTAATTATTATATATAAAATAATATATAATTCATTTTTAATAAAATCATTTGTAAATAAAAATTTCGCTTACTTGAAATCGATAACGACCTACTGGAGGAAGTCCAAATCGAATACCACGAAATACATAAAATCCTTTATTTGGATCTCGAGTACCATAAATACGTGCTTGTCTTTCATTTTGTGTCACATAAACAACAGGATCATCTATAGGAGGTGGTGCAGCTGTTCTACCACCAACAATTCTTTTTTGTCTTTTTAAATTATATGACGTAATTGTCATTAATACACAAAATAAAAAAATTACAATTATACTCACGCGTCTACACATGTTGAATGTTTCTACTATACTGATAATTATATTCATTTCCTTGACTGATCTAATAATTGGTAACTCTTATAAGAGAGAATATTTTATATAATAGAAGTATATATATTCTTTATATTACAAAATTAAAAATGATAAATTGTTATGTTTAATAATTTAATTTATAAATCAAATATTTTCTTTTAAAAAATATATATTATTTTAAATCAAATCAAAATTTTAGCGGGCAAACAATGCAACCAATATAAAGACTTGTACAGATCGCTCAATTTCCGGTTAAGTCTTTCTCTATCGGATGTCGATTTACTTGGTATGTAACCTGTGATTACTTTAGATACAAAATCGTTTTAAATTCGTAAAAATAAAATGCATCTATAATAAAATAATTATTTTTTAAGTGAATTTATTAATTTTCTAAATATTCCTATAAATATTTTAGTTTTTAAAAAAAAGAATTTAAATTTTGTTTGTACCTCTTTAAGGTTATGTTAGTGTATGAAATAACAGACAATATCACGTTTTGTATTTGTACATTATAAAAGTAAAATAATTTAATGTCTTGCGTAATTTTATGAATAGATTTTAAATCATGGGTCGAGTAATTCGTGCTCAACGTAAAGGAGCTGGATCTGTCTTCAGATCTCATACAAAAAGGAGAAAGGGAGCACCTAAACTTCGCTCTTTGGATTTTTCTGAAAGACATGGATACATCAAAGGTGTTGTCAAGGTTTGTTTAGTTTTCCAATTTTTAATTAATATTTTGTTTTATTTCAATTTAATTTTATTTTAATCTAATTATTATTATTGTATTTGTGATGAATCTTAATATACTTATTTCTGAGTGAGAATATGAAGAAATATTAATAGAGGCTCTTTCTGAGACAATTATATACTTTATGAAATCACATTTGTAATTTTTGTTTGTTTGTTTATTAATACAAATTATATTTTTATAGGATATTATTCATGATCCCGGTCGTGGTGCACCATTAGCCGTTGTTCATTTTAGAGATCCATATAAGTTTAAAACTCGTAAAGAATTATTTATTGCACCAGAAGGAATGTACACTGGACAATTCCTTTATTGTGGAAAAAAAGGTAAATAAATTTTACTTAAAATAATAAATTAAAATATATTAAATTATTCTCATAAAAAAGATATAATTATAAATTTTATAGATATAAAATCTAAATTATATAAATTAATAAAACAATATTTTATATAGCTAATCTTCAAATTGGAAATGTGATGCCTGTTGGTCAAATGCCTGAAGGTACCATTGTTTGTAATTTGGAAGAAAAAACTGGTGATAGAGGTCGATTGGCAAGAGCATCAGGAAATTATGCTACAGTTATAGCTCACAATCCAGATACAAAAAAAACCAGAGTGAAACTGCCTTCTGGTGCTAAAAAAGTTATACCTTCTAATAATAGAGCAATGGTGGGTATTGTTGCTGGTGGTGGACGTATTGATAAACCAATTCTTAAAGCTGGTCGTGCATATCACAAATACAAGGCTAAGAGGAACTGTTGGCCTAAGGTATAGTATTTAATAATATATAAAAAATTTTTATTTTATTATAATATAAATATTTATCAATGATGCTTATAGACATTTGAAACCTGAACATTTTTTGTTGAAAATCTTTAACTGAGGATAAAATTTAATATAAATATTATATGTATTAAATATAATCATTATTGGAAGATTTGATATATTTTCGTATTTACAGGTTCGTGGTGTTGCTATGAACCCTGTTGAGCATCCACACGGTGGTGGTAATCATCAACATATTGGTAAAGCATCTACAGTTAAACGTGGAACTAGCGCTGGTCGTAAGATTGGTCTTATTGCTGCGCGTCGTACAGGAAGAATCCGAGGTGGAAAAACCGATACTAAGAAAGACGATTAGACAAAATGTTGATTAAATTCTGGATCTTGTACAATAAAACATTTAAAAAAAATTATTTGTAAATATTATTTTATTATCTTATCGTCCATTTTACACAATTAAAAGATCAATTTTCTAAAATTATGAAATAGTAATTTTATGATTTTATGTTTTTAGTGTTTTTAAACTGTAAGATCTGAATTTAGCTTAAGTATTTGATCTGAAATTCGTATATAAGTAATGTGTCAATATGTCGAGCACGGATACCAACAGACAAGTAAATTGAAAAAGTAATGCAACGTGTTCATAGATTTCATTACAATATCATGTGTAAGCCATAAATGTGTTTCAAACTTTAATACGTGAGAATAATAGGAATGATAAACAATTAGAAAATTATCCAGCAGAGTATGTTCTCTTAGTTTTCTCGATATCCGGCGGATATAAGTCGTCAGCCATCTTGCTAGCAATATTTCGGCGCTCGGCCATTTTTGTTGCGTCGACGTCAAGTGTGGCCAGAGGCCTTTCATCGTAGCCAGTCTTCGAATTTCCTTTGTATCGAATTATCGACAGATAAAAACTGTAATTCTAACTACTTGGCTTAGTCGACAAGTTTCGTTTGTAGCTCAGGAAGAAACGAAAGGAGAGGAAAAAGGATTGAACAATTGAAATTTTTTGCTTAGTGATTGTCTAGGCGAATAATAGTTAAAGAGCTTCTGCGGCAGAGCCACGAAAAATACGCACCGAGGCGGAGTAATATGAGTAATGCAGCCAACCAGAATGGATCAGGTCTAGAGCAGCAGGTAAAAAATTAAAAGTTTTTTAAATTCTTGACAATTATTGTTGCAATCTACCATTTTTCTCTTTGTCTTTTTTATTTGATTCTTTCATCATTTTATATCGTTTCAGAAATGATATTGTACATAATTGTGTGTAAATGTTCAAAAGTGTTATTTTATAACCTATAATTCTATGAATCAAATGTTCTTGCATCTTGTCTTGCATTGAAAATTTTAGATTTGGATCATCATTAAGTTCGTTTGTGACGTACAGCTTTGTAATGGCGGCAACCAATTCCGGGAACAGTAAACCTCGTGCTGTGACGCATTCTCACATTGCTTTTTTACTATATCCAGAATTTTCGTGATTAGATGAAATATATATAATATAATATATATTATTACTTTAAAGAAATTAGAGTATATTCAATTTAAAAATTTTATTTATTTAAGAAGTAGAATATAACTTTTTCATTTCTCAAAGTTGTCATAGATGCAATTTAATAAATAATTAATTATTTAATAATAAATATATTTACTTATTAGTTATTTTATTAATAAAAATGAAAAGATACATATATTTCAGTAGCAAATTTAAGTATATATGAACAAAATTATATAAAATAATTTTAATATTTACAACAATCATACATATTTACAATAATCTGTAATAAATATAAATATATTTTGTAAATTTTTTAATAATGACATTTAAGAATTTTTTTTAAAAATATTTTCTATAATAATTTATTTTTGGATCTTGATATATATAAAGTAATATATAAGTATTAGTGAGTTTTCAGTTAAAAATTAATTATATTTTTAATATATAAAATTCTTAATATAAATTATCATTAATAAAATACAAAATACTCAAACATAATATAGTAATAAAGAAAAAAAAGATATGATTAAATAGATTTTAATCAATAATACAATAGATATTAAAAATTAAAATTTTTTAATCATTTTTTATACTTTTAAAAATATTAAAAAATTGAATAAATTTTACTTATTTTTTTTTTATTTGTTTCAATTATTCTTTATATTATTTAAATAAATTTAAATAATAAATCTAAATAAATTTAATTTAATAAAATTTTTAATTATAATTAATTATATTTTTTTCTTTTTTTCTAAATTAAAATTATTTTAATTCAAATAAAATAAAATAATTTTTATCAGTAATATATAGCAAGAAAAATTTAAATATTTATATTTTATGTTTTAGTTAGCTGGTCTGGACTTGCAGGGCTCCCGCCAACCAAGTGGGGGTCGCTACGTACCACCGCATTTACGAAATAAATCTGGAAGTGAGTATTGTATATACATTGCTGGGAATAAATTATTATATTATTAATATATTATAATATATAATATATATATTATTATAATATACAATTGTTATATTATTAATACATATATTATTTTATTATATTTATAATTTGAAATTTAAATGAAAAATTAAAAAATTGATTTTGATTTTTTGAATATATATTTATATATTCATTATTTTTATTAATTTCATTTTTTAAGTTCTTAAATTAAGAAATTATTGTAAATATATATAAATATAAATATATTAAATTGTTTTGAAGAAATATTTAAAAATTAATAATTGAAAAAATGTTGCTACTGAAAAAATTTATGAGTCAGTAGAACCTTTTGATAATATTATTGTCATGTAAAAGGATTTATCATTATGTAAAAATAAATAATAAAACAAATTGTATTATTAATTTTTTATAGGTAACGCGCCTTCTGGCGGAGATCATCATTTTTCTTCCAACTCAAGACCGTATTCTGACAGAGATAGAGGAAGAGATCGTGATCGTGAAAGGGAAAGGGAAAGAGATCGTGATAGAGGAAGAGGTGGTTCAGGTTATAGAGATACGCGCTCTCGTGATGTCGATTTTGGAAATTTCGGAAATTTTGGTGGGCGCACTAGACGTAGTGCCAATCAAGAAAATGGAAGAGATTATAGATATTCCAATTCAGACCGTGAACGAGATCGAGATCGCACGGTTAACTCTGGAAACGATCGTTGGCAAGAACCTAGAAACGATCGCTGGCCAGACAACAGAAATGATCATAGAATGGGAGGCGGTCGATGGAAGGACGACAGAGAAGGAGGTAGGACGAATTCTGAAATCGACTGGACAATACCCACTTCCAGAGATGAGCGATTGGAGGTGGAACTATTTGGTACTGGAAATACTGGTATTAATTTTAGTAAATATGAGGATATCCCAGTTGAGGCTACTGGGGATAACATACCTCCACACATCACATCTGTAAGTTCTAAAATTATAGAATAATAATTTTTTTTTCAATAATCATATCGTATACATATGTCATCATATATCTTATTTTTCTTATAGTTTGACGAAGTTAAGCTGACGGAGATAATAAAGAATAGTATTAGTTGGCTGGTTATGATAAACCCACACCAGTACAGAAGTATGCGATACCGATTATTATCGGGCGCCGTGATGTTATGGCCTGTGCCCAAACAGGGTCTGGTAAAACAGCGGCCTTTTTAGTGCCAATATTAAATCAGATTTATGAAAGCGGGCCACGTCCACCACCAATTAATTCTTCTGGAAAGCGCAAACATTTTCCTCTTGGTCTAGTATTAGCACCTACAAGAGAGCTTGCCACGCAAATATATGACGAAGCACGGAAATTTGCATATAGATCACGTATGCGCCCTGCTGTTGTCTATGGTGGTTCGAATATTGTAGATCAAATGCGAGAATTAGATCGTGGATGTCATTTACTTGTTGCAACACCTGGTCGCCTTGTAGATATGTTAGGTCGTGGTAAAATCGGATTACATAATTGTCGGTTCGTATAGAAACTTTTATAATTATTAGTTTTAAATATTTAATTTATACTATAATATTCGAATTTCATTTTTAGATATTTAGTATTGGATGAAGCAGATCGTATGTTGGATATGGGTTTCGAGCCACAAATAAGACGTATAGTTCAGGAGGACACAATGCCTCCCACGGGAGAAAGACAAACACTCATGTTTTCAGCTACATTTCCAAAAGAAATTCAAATGTTGGCAAGAGATTTTCTTAGTAACTATATCTTTTTAGCTGTAGGCCGTGTTGGTTCTACATCTGAAAATATTACTCAGAAAATTGTATGGGTGGAAGAACATGATAAGCGTTCTTATTTGCTTGATCTTCTTCAAGCTAGCAATTTTTCAGATCCTTGTATGTTATAAAAATTGAAAAATTACGAAACACAGTATCGCACACGTATCGTACAGATATTTAACAATTAACTTTTAATTTTAATTCTAGCTGCCGAATCATTGACTTTAGTATTTGTGGAAACAAAAAAAGGTGCAGATATGTTAGAAGAATATTTACATCAAATGGGATATCCGGTCACTAGCATTCATGGTGATCGAACACAGCGTGAACGAGAAGATGCTTTACGTCGTTTTCGAGCTGGTAAAGCGCCAATACTTGTTGCTACTGCTGTTGCTGCCCGTGGACTTGATATTCCACATGTAAAACATGTGATAAATTTCGATTTACCCGGAGATGTAGAAGAGTATGTTCATCGGATTGGTCGTACTGGTCGTATGGGAAATTTAGGTTCGTTTTCTTTTTTTTTTTCTCATTTCATAATACATTATCTCATATTTATTTTTACTTTTCTTTGACTGACGTTTAAAAATAATTTAATCTTATAACAGGTTTAGCAACATCATTTTTCAACAATAAGAATATTAACTTAGTACGTGACTTGGTATCTCTCCTAGTTGAAGCTAATCAAGAACTTCCACCTTGGTTAGACGATATGTTTAGTGAAGCAAGATATTCTGGAGGTGGATCTCGTCGAGCTGGAAGTACTAAAGGCCGATTTAGCGGTGGATTTGGTGCTAGAGATTATCGTCAGCAACCTAGCTCCGGGTCTGCTCGCAATAATGGTTCCTCCAATAGGCCTGGTAGTTATGGAGGTTAGTAAATGTTTATTTAAAATTTTAATGAAAATTTGTTACAATAATTAATGATGATTAAGATTATTATGTGTATAATCATTTCCCTCTATAGGAAGTTACGGAAATTATGGAGGTAACTATAACAATTCATCGTATAATAATTCTGCTAACAACGTCAACAGTAATGATCCTGATTGGTGGGACAAGTAAATCATTATCACCATCTCTATTTTCACTTTTATCATTATTACTACTGTACACGTAAATTCAAATATATGTAAGAAAGACACGTACGACATACACATCGGATACAACACGCACGTATTTGCGCGTGTATACGTATACACAAAAAAAGACAGTATCACGTATATACAAATCACGTTCGCTGACTGCCTGTGCACTACAATTTTCAAACTAAAAAGGAAAAAAAAATAATTGTGTTTATTCAATTCCATAAATAACTTTTATTCGCGTGCGACGAAACACTATTGGCAAATCCAAATATAATCTCAGCATTAAGAACTGCAAAAGGAAATCACCATATAACATAGAAAATAATGATCTCATTTTTAAGAGAATCAGAGTTATTAGGATTTGTCAAATACTAGACAAAAATATAGGATCCATCCAAGGTTTCGTTGCCGTGCGTGTTGAAAAACACAAATAGTATAATCATTAATGAATCAAATCGAGCAGTCGTTCATGTCTAGTTAGGGCATAACGATGTGACACGTAGTAAGTGAAGAAACTTAGTGAAATTTTTTAGAACTCCTGTCGAGATTATGGGGCTCATTATGGCTTCATTATTAAAATTTTTGAAGGACGTGGTGGGCGTATCTTCGAGAATCGTGGCGTCTAGATTCGTGTAATCATAGAGCTTTAAATGCACAAGTGCTTTATTATTCTCGCCTGAATGGCCAGTATCTTGTGTAATTTAATTTAAACCAGTGGCGCTATTTTTTTCTTTCTTTTTATGCATAAATATATATATATATATATATTTATATATAAATATATATATATATATTTCACTAGGCGTCCACGATACGCCATACCGCCATCGCCATAGATTTCGTCACGATTCCTGTTTTAAATTTACTATAATCCAGCGACGAATGGTACTTTGTTGTTTTGCCGTCCCCAGACACAGACGACGTTGCGCCGGCAATATCATGGTTTAATCGACTAAATCGCGTAAAGTGTTCAGTAGTCGAAAGCTTTGATGTTATGAGAAGGACACAGGCTGCGTCTTAAGATACTTTTAGAAATCTCGTTTATATTTCTGTCACGTCCTGTTAATATATTAAGTAAGTTTAGAAGTCTGATGCTGTAAACTTATTGCTTCTGTAACTCTTAATTCAAAGAGTTATTTTATTTAAAAGTTCGGTCATTATATTTAGAGTAGGCTGAAAATTTTCAGCAAATGTCAGGTATATTTGTACCTGAATTTTAACGTACTCTAATTAAAATTTCTAAACGTAACAAAGACGTTGTCCTGTAAAATTGATACGGTGTGTTATAAAAATCTTAGATCGCAGTACTGAATGCGAGTGCTCTAGAACGAGAAAGCTTACATTTTAAAAAACGGGTAAAAAATATACGGTTGCAGTTACAGAAGGGAACTTCAAAAGAATAAAAACAAAAGGAGCAAAAATACGCTGTTAGTTGGCTCAACCTTACAAGAATAAAAAAAAAAAAAAAAAGAAAATATACAAAAAGCAAGCCCTTTGAAATAAGGATACATAAAGGCGCACTCATATTTTATAACTGTATTTATCAATACGCTATATATATATATACATACTAAGTAATGTTCGTAAATACATAAACATTAAAATAATTGAAAAACGACTGTGATATCGAACGATCTTGCGACATTCAATTTCCATGTGAATTGATAAATGAACAATTTAACGAAATACAAATATTAAATGTATTAATTAATCGGTATTGAATGTCAGGAAAGCATTAAGCTCAGTTATGCGAGCCAAGAATGGAAATATTAAGTCGTTAAAAGTGAATAGAGAACATCAAGAACAACGTGGCTGTTGTCCGATCGGGGAGGGCTGAACGCTAGCCTCTTACAGTCCTAAAAACATGTTTTTGGGGCATTGTTTCTACTTAAAATAAACGCGCATTAATAATAGATAATAACGGCGAAACGCGTCATTACTGGTTGATGATGTTGGTAGGGCTTTATAGAATGTGTCGATATCTTTTGTGCAAACGAGTCGGATTCTTACCTAATCTATGTGAGAAAAAGTACAAATTCAATTTGCGTGACAACTGACAGGATTTTTAGACATGTCATACTTATACCTGTTATATTAATAGATTTATAGTGCAATCGCGTGCGTGAATCGTATGCCGTGTGACAGTGGACCAAGGTGTGAATGCCTCTTTGACGGGGAATAATTATTTCAACTAGAACTTTCAAATAGTGTTACGAATAATATTGTTGGCTTCCGACCATGGTGTGTGTGGTTTCAAATTCTAATATGATTGATTTATCATCGAGTCTGTTTGTCAACTCGGAGGCCCTGCCAAGAACATTACAAGAAGAATTCACAACGAAAAGTGATCCATCACTTTTTCGTTATATAGTGTACAATTTTACGGCACAATTGTTTAGTTGGACCTTAGTCTATATAAGAGAGTAGATCATGCCGTAATATTACTATTATTATTACGATTAGTACCACTACCGCTATTATTCTTACTTTACTATTATTATTCATTTTTTTTTTGACAAGGTGGTACTATATGCGCAAACTTTGCATAACGACTTTGCTGTATTGCGTTGCGTTATTTTATTGCGATAGAAAAAGAATAAGTGACATTTGGACACTATTATCTCGAATTTTTTAAATATATATATATATATATATATGTATCATCTCTCTCTCTCTC